GTCTGTGTTCAGATATGATATTCCATACATGTGGACTTTTTTCTACTTAAATCTGATATCTTCATTTGTGTTAAAGTACCATATACAGTATAGAGGGGAAGTGGAAAAGAATCTTTCCTCCGTAAGCCATGCGTGTCGTATGAGGCGACTAAAATGCCGGGAGCAATGGGCTAGTAACCCCTTCTCCTGTAGACATTTACGAAAAAAAGAGAAGAAGAAAAACTTTATAAAACTGGGATGCTTGAATGTGCGTGGATGTAGTGCGGATGACAAGAAACAGATGATTACTGATGTTATGAATGAAAAGAAGTTGGATGTCCTGGCCCTAAGCGAAACAAAGCTGAAGGGGGTAGGGGAGTTTCGGTGGGCGGAAATAAATGGGATTAAATCTGGAGTATCTGAGAGAGTTAGAGCAAAGGAAGGGGTAGCAGTAATGTTGAATGATCAGTTATGGAAGGAGAAAAGAGAATATGAATGTGTAAATTCAAGAATTATGTGGATTAAAGTAAAGGTTGGATGCGAGAAGTGGGTCATATTAAGCGTGTATGCACCTGGAGAAGAGAGGAATGCAGAGGAGAGAGAGAGATTTTGGGAGATGCTAAGTGAATGTATAGGAGCCTTTGAACCAAGTGAGAGAGTAATTGTGGTAGGGGACCTGAATGCTAAAGTAGGAGAAACTTTTAGAGAGGGTGTGGTAGGTAAGTTTGGGGTGCCAGGTGTAAATGATAATGGGAGCCCTTTGATTGAACTTTGTATAGAAAGGGGTTTAGTTATAGGTAATACATATTTTAAGAAAAAGAGGATAAATAAGTATACAAGATATGATGTAGGGCGAAATGACAGTAGATTGTTGGATTATGTATTGGTAGATAAAAGACTGTTGAGTAGACTTCAGGATGTACATGTTTATAGAGGGGCTGCAGATATATCAGATCACTTTCTAGTTGTAGCTACACTGAGAGTAAAAGGTAGATGGGATACAAGGAGAATAGAAGCATCAGGGAAGAGAGAGGTGAAGGTTTATAAACTAAAAGAGGAGGCAGTTAGGGTAAGATATAAACAGCTATTGGAGGATAGATGGGCTAATGAGAGCATAGGCAGTGGGGTCGAAGAGGTATGGGGTAGGTTTAAAAATGTAGTGTTAGAGTGTTCAGCAGAAGTTTGTGGTTACAGGAAAGTGGGTGTGGGAGGGAAGAGGAGTGATTGGTGGAATGATGATGTAAAGAGAGTAGTAAGGAGAAAAAAGTTAGCATATGAGAAGTTTTTACAAAGTAGAAGTGATGCAAGGAGGGAAGAGTATATGGAGAAAAAGAGAGAGGTTAAGAGAGTGGTGAAGCAATGTAAAAAGAGAGCAAATGAGAAAGTGGGTGAGATGTTATCAACAAATTTTGTTGAAAATAAGAAAAAGTTTTGGAGTGAGATTAACAAGTTAAGGAAGCCTAGAGAACAAATGGATTTGTCAGTTAAAAATAGGAGAGGAGAGTTATTAAATGGAGAGTTAGAGGTATTGGGAAGATGGAGGGAATATTTTGAGGAATTGTTAAATGTTGATGAAGATAGGGAAGCTGTGATTTCGTGTATAGGGCAAGGAGGAATAACATCTTGTAGGAGTGAGGAAGAGCCAGTTGTGAGTGTGGGGGAAGTTCGTGAGGCAGTAGGTAAAATGAAAGGGGGTAAGGCAGACGGGATTGATGGGATAAAGATAGAAATGTTAAAAGCAGGTGGGGATATAGTTTTGGAGTGGTTGGTGCAATTATTTAATAAATGTATGGAAGAGTGTAAGGTACCTAGGGATTGGCAGAGAGCATGCATAGTTCCTTTGTATAAAGGCAAAGGGGACAAGAGAGTGCAAAAATTATAGGGGGATAAGTCTGTTGAGTATACCTGGTAAAGTGTATGGTAGAGTTATTATTGAAAGAATTAAGAGTAAGATGGAGAACAGGATAGCAGATGAACAAGGAGGCTTTAGGAAAGGTAGGGGGTGTGTGGACCAGGTGTTTACAGTGAAACATATAAGTGAACAGTATTTAGATAAAGCTAAAGAGGTCTTTGTGGCATTTATGGATTTGGAAAAGGCATATGACAGGGTGGATAGGGGGGCAATGTGGCAGATGTTGCAGGTGTATGGTGTAGGAGGTAGGTTACTGAAAGCAGTGAAGAGTTTTTACAAGGATAGTGAGGCTCAAGTTAGAGTATGTAGGAAAGAGGGAGATTATTTCCCAGTAAAAGTAGGCCTTAGACAAGGATGTGTGATGTCACCGTGGTTTAATATATTTATAGATGGGGTTGTAAGAGAAGTAAATGCGAGGGTCTTGGCAAGAGGCGTGGAGTTAAAAGATAAAGAATCACACATAAAGTGGGAGTTGTCACAGTTGCTCTTTGCTGATGACACTGTGCTCTTGGGAGATTCTGAAGAGAAGTTGCAGAGATTGGTGGATGAATTTGGTAGGGTGTGCAAAAGAAGAAAATTAAAAGTGAATACAGGAAAGAGTAAGGTTATGAGGATAACAAAAAGATTAGGTGATGAAAGATTGGATATCAGATTGGAGGGAGAGAGTATGGAGGAGGTGAACATATTCAGATATTTGGGAGTGGACATGTCAGCGGATGGGTCTATGAAAGATGAGGTGAATCATAGAATTGATGAGGGGAAAAGGGTGAGTGGTGCATGTAGGAGTCTGTGGAGACAAAGAACTTTGTCCTTGGAGACAAAGAGGGGAATGTATGAGAGTATAGTTTTACCAACGCTCTTATATGGGTGTGAAGCATGGGTGATGAATGTTGCAGCGAGGAGAAGGCTAGAGGCAGTGGAGATGTCATGTCTGAGGGCAATATGTGGTGTGAATATAATGCAGAGAATTCGTAGTTTGGAAGTTAGGAGGAGGTGCGGGGTTACCAAAACTGTTGTCCAGAGGGCTGAGGAAGGGTTGTTGAGGTGGTTCGGACATGTAGAGAGAATGGAGCGAAACAGAATGACTTCAAGAGTGTATCAGTCTGTAGTGGAAGGAAGGCGGGGTAGGGGTCAGCCTAGGAAAGGTTGGAGGGAGGGGGTAAAGGAGGTTTTGTGTGCGAGGGGCTTGGACTTCCAGCAGGCATGCGTGAGCGTGTTTGATAGGAGTGAATGGAGACAAATGGTTTTTAATACTTGACGTGCTGTTGGAGTGTGAGCAAAGTAACATTTATGAAGGGATTCAGGGAAACCGGCAGGCCGGACTTGAGTCCTGGAGATGGGAAGTACAGTGCCTGCACTCTGAAGGAGGGGTGTTAATGTTGCAGTTTAAAAACTGTAGTGTAAAGCACCCTTCTGGCAAGACAGTGATGGAGTGAATGATGGTGAAAGTTTTTCTTTTTCGGGCCACCCTGCCTTGGTGGGAATCGGCCAGTGTGATAATAAAAAATAAAAAAAAAAATAATTTTTTCCCTATCATCCTGTTTTAAGGGAGGGTCCTTAATGTTGGTGAATGGCTCTTAATCCAAAGATTTGTATTGTAATATTAGCTGTTAATAAGGGCTTGAGGAGTGATGATAGATGTGAGGAGAAACATTGTTGAGGAGAAACAATGTTGTGTACTATCCTCTCTCCCTCAGATGTCTGCATTCACTGCTTCTCTTGCTGCTGGCTTACTGTCCTGGCAAAAACGAGACATAGCAGTTTAGTTCTCCTACACCACATTTGTCTTTCCTTTGTGAATACAATGAAAATCTAGCATTACCACGTATCTAAGTTGCCCCTCTAACTTTTGTTATGATTGAGGCTAATAATGTTAGTGTAATAGGAGAGGGGAGGAAGAGGTGGGGGTGGCTGGAAGATTCACTTTACCAAACCCAGCTACATGTACATTGCCCCCACTTTTATTTTTATTCTCAGTTTTTACTTTATTGATATATCTTTGGTATATGGTATTTGGTGTGGTGGGTTTTTATTGGTTCAGTTTTGTCAATAAATGTGGGCTGTATTATAGTACATTTATTGTTCAGGGAAGGTGCACATTATTCCCCCCCCCTCAGTTTTTAGGATAAAATATACTAATGTATGGATATTAAAATATTCAAATGACCTGTTCTGTTGAACTAGCAGCAGCAGCAGCAGCAGCTGTATATGCACACCCGGTATTATATGTTTGAAACAGTTTCTTGGTATAAAAGATTGTTGTGGCACAAAATGTCTCTTTGACATGGAAGTTTTTTGTCATTAATCAAAATTGTTCTGCAAAGATAGCCACAGCCCACTGACACCTGGCACCCATCAATAAGGCCATTTCCTCTTCCTCCTCTAACTCCTGCTGGAGGTGCAGGAGGGGAAACTGCATGCCCTAAGGGCACACCCAGCTAGTACATTTGTGGCTGGTGTGTTTCTGCTGACTCAGTGGCAGCAATAGTAGCATCACTGTAGTTGACAGAGGAAGAAAAAGAAGAGAAAAAAAAAAGCATGTTGCCTTACCCTCTCAGAGTAGTAGGATGGTAGACAGCAGTCATTATGGGAGGTACTGCTGTCCTCTCAGATGAAGCTGAAATGGAAACCTGTTACTTTTTTTTTTTTTTGTACTGGCAGGATTGCTTTCTTCTTATTTCACAAACACTTAAGATAATAGGTAAATCTTACAACCTACTTCTTCCATTTATTATATACATACCTTTACTTAACTAGCTCTTAATTCTATAATACTTCCTTTCTAACGTAGGAGGCCTAGTATCAAACCAGGCCCTGAGAAAGGTAATCCTCGGGACCACTAACAAATAAGAGTTAAGCAGAGGCTAACTGTATAGTATATAGTAAGCATAGTCATCAGGGTTTCCTGTTACTTAAAATTTCTTATATGTAATACTTTTATATCTTATGAGATCAGAAAATGGTGAAAAGGAGAAGTTGGAAGGAGAGGTGAGATAACAAGGTGGAGGGAGGGAAGGAAGATCAAGGGAGAGAGAAGTGAGAGAAGTTTTCCTCACAAACTATTGTATCCATTTAATTATATTTTTAGATACTCACTGGCACTCAACAGATCCATCAGTGCTGGATGAGGAGACAAGAATGGACTACAGTCTGCTCCAGGACGAGGACTCTCAAGGCTCATCCTCAAAGAGAGAAGTTCGTAGATTCCGCTGTGAAGTCATTGTGCCAGAAAGGTTAGCAAAGTAATTTTTTTCGGTATCTCTACAGTTACCATTTAAATATGGTGCTTCCACTTATAAATCCAGAGAACGCAAACAAAAATAAGACTTGCCTGAAGATTTAATCCCCAAGAACTTCGGTGAACTATAGTTATGCAAATTTTTTAATATAGGTCAGATTACCATAATTACTTTAGTTCTGGAGTTAAGAAGTATGGTGCCTACACATTAAAGGATTGATAGAGATATTGCACTTTGGAGGGTTATGTGAATTGGGATGTCTGTACACTTCTATTACTCAGTAGCTATTGAGGGTGAATTTGTTTTGAGTTACCCTTCCATACCAGTTATGTTAGTTTTGAAGTAAAAGAAGAAAAGACATTATATAACTGTACAGGTATTTTGCAGTTTACCTGGGAAGGGGATGTGTCAGTCATCAGAATATCCAGAATTACATTGCTGTACTCCATGTATATGTATCAGATGTATTCTCAAATTACAGTAAAATATTGAAGTTTCATCACTAGTATTTTCTACACTTGTTACTTTGGCTAGTACATAACAGAAGCCATTTGTCAGCGTGTGTTTAATTTGATTAATGAGAGTCTGGGGTGTATAACAATTATAAATATTCTTAAAACATGTAAGCTGAAATTACATTAGCAAAATTTGCATTATATAGATAAGAAAAATGAAGTTAGTTAAAAGACAGAAAAAGAAATTAGAGAAATGTGAAAATGCAGTTTATGAATCCCATAACATACAGGAGGTCCATTGCTTGCAAAAGAGTTGCATTCCTGGCTTTTCAATTTGCGAACATATGGAAAAAAGTACAATAATTATTATTATTATAATCATGGGGAGCACTAAACCCATAGGATTATACAGCGCATGTGGGGGGCGGATGGGAGGCATTCAGGCTCATTTCAGGGAACTGGAGCACGGATCCAATTCCCTAGATCAAGAGCCCCTCACCAGCATTGAGGAACCTCCCTTGAGGGGAAAAAAAAAGTACAAGAGATTATAGTTCACTCTTTATTTTGTACTATGGCTTAGGCATTGTAATAATTTGATTCTTAAATGCCCCATTTGTAAGTACATATGAATGTGTGCAACTTGGTACTCCTATGAGTCGAACGTTTACGTGTGACGTATCTTTAAAGACTAGGTTTGCAGAGTGATTATCTCCAGAACCATTAACATATATAGGATAACTGTAATGCAGTAATAGATTTTATACTATACTGTATTGTTCATTAGAATAATTTGTCATTTATAGCAAATGGCTTATTGAAATTTGCCAACATTAGTGTTTTAATAATGGAGCATCAAAATTTCTGTTCCTTTCCTTAGCACTGAAGTATTCACTGCTGATAAGGTGGTCGAATATGTTTGGCCATTGGAGGGCATTGGTGAGCACTATTTCATACAAGAGCAGATTTCCCAATATCTTGGCATCATGTCATTCAAACGCCGATACCCAGATCTACGAAGACGACCAATTGACATGCAAGAGCGGGATTATCTGAAGGAAAAAGGCTTAGTATCTGAGATGGCCTGTGATTTAGGTTTGTTGATTATACTGTTTTTCTTTTTGTATCTTCAGTATACATATTTTCTTTTTCATTCTAGATTTTGTTATTTCCTGCACATTTGTTTTGTTCTTTGTGCTTTCTTATTCTTGTGTTTCTTTTTTTTCTTTGTTTCCTAAAAAATTATCATTCAGATTCATTCACAAAAGTATTAAATGTGTTCTGTTTAAAGTAATCAGTGTTTGCAGATAATTTGGTAGAGTAATGATTATCTGTGAAGCCTGTTGTATGTGCAGCATTTCTGGCAAGGCTTAATCAAAACAATTCTGAATATATTCATAGATAAAGAGGTACAGTGGACGCTCGACCAACGATATTAATCTATTCCAGAGAGCTTGTCGTTAGTCGAATTTATTGTTGTTCAAATTAATTTTCCCCATAAGAAATAATGGAAATCCAATTAATCCGTTCCAGACACTCAAAAGTATGAATTTTTTTTTTTCACATGAAATATACATTTTCCTACACAGAAAAAGGATACATGCACAATAAAAACTGTGTACTAAATGAAGAATAAATGACACTTACCTTTATTGAAGATGTAGTGATGAGTGATAAGATGGGAGGAGGGAAGATGGAGGTGTATTAATTTGGGAACAACTTGAGAGTCACTGGACCTCTGTCATACCAAAAATCTGTCCATTGAGCTCTTCCAGAACAGGCCTGTTTTGTCACAATTGAACACTTGTTGGGGTTGGAATTTTTCAGCTTTGCCATGCCTTATCACACTGTGTATGCCACTACAATTCTTAAATCTCTTAAACCAATCTTTGCTGGCCTTAAATTCATTGATATGAGCACTAGTTCCAGGCATTTTTTCATGTTCACCTGGGTGTTAGTTAACTGATGTGGGTTGCATCCTGGGGGCCAAGATTAAGGACCCCAATGGAATTAAGTTACAGTCCTCGATGACACACTGACTTTCTTGGGTTTTCGTGGGTGGCTAACCCTCTGGGGTTAATTGTTTCTTGGTAATTGTTTCTCGTTAAGCCACACCAACAGCACACACTCCACATCTTCGAGTAGTACAGCTGACCGTGGTACAATAGTATTTCGATAGTATTTCTTACCCTTTTTACCACAGGGTTGGCACTAGAAGTTTTCTTTGGGACCATGGTGGCTTATTTAGCAGTTACAAGCACTAAAAACTATGGAATAATACAAAATGTCTCGAATGTATGCATGGAACCGTCCTCCCTGGCTTGTAAACAGTGGCACACTAGCTGATGGCAGGGCATCTGAGGCGCTCAGGCTGGACGGACAGGCTCAGGACGAATCGTGTTGGTCGAGTTTTTCATTGTTGGTCGGGCCAAAATTTTTACGCTCAAACGCTTTGTTAGTCGAATTTATCGTTAGACGATGCCTTCGTTGGACTGGGGTCCACTGTACACTAAAATTAGCAATGGGAATTATAATAGATTAATGAAAACAAAATCAACAGTTTATTCTCTCAGGTATGTTAAGATTGTACAAATAATTTATGATTATAGATTTTATGTATTTATTATACAAGTTTTGTACAGGTAAGTTTGTATTAGCATCGTTAGTGAAGCCACTTTGTGCATAGTGTTTTTTTGGGTAAGATTTTTTTTTTTTTAATCACATAGCTATCTTCCACTCAGGCAGGGGCAATTCACTCAAGAGAACACATTTCCTATCACTTCTTCAAAAACTATCTTATCAGAAGTGTGCAGATATCATAATTCAGATGCCCCTTCAAACTACAACATCCCCACCTCTCCATAAGAGTCAGGCACTCTACTTCTCACCTCCAGAACTCTAGTCTGGCTATGTGGACCTGCAAGTTGCTAGCACCAACAGCCTGGTTGACTGGGACATTAACTAGAAAGTTTAGCACCAGACCTGGCTGTGAGGGTAAAAAAATAAAATCGAAACCAGTCAAACATGGTAGAGATAATTAGTGTCTTCGAATCCATTCATAAACGTGGGCTAAAAAAAGTATAAATTTTTACATCGTATCAGCCTTTGCTGCTAATAGGGTACTAACGGTTATTTTACAAAATCAGAATCAATTTAATATTACTAAGTTGTCTGAGTGGTACATTTTCGGTCTCAGGTTTACACTAATTATGTGTTTCAAACTCTTCCGGCCGTATATATACGTCTTATGAGGTACCGTGTTTGACGTATATATACTCATAAATTCTAGCGGCTTCAAATCAAGCAGGAGAAAGCTGGTAGGCCCACATGTGAGAGAATTGGTCTGTGTGGTCAGTGTGCACCACATAAAAAAAATCCTGGAGCACGCAGTACATGAGAAAAAAAAACTCCGACCGTTTTTTTTAATTAAAATGCCGACTTTGTGGTCTATTTTCGTATAGTATTTATAGTTGTATTGTCGTTTTCTTGGTCTCATTTGATAGAATGGAAAACATATTATAGAAATAGAGGTGATTTTGATTGATTTTATTATAAAAAGAACCTGGAAAAGGAGCTCAAAGTAAAGGAAATGTTTGATTTTTGCCAATGTTCAAAAGTAAACAAATGATGTCATTGTCCAATAAATGTCCAACTAGCCATTCTAATATGCAGTCATGAATGGGTTGATGTTATTTATACAATTATTACAGTATTGCAGTAGTCTGCATAATAGTAAGTCTTCTATTTTTTGTTTGAATAAAAATTCAAAATAGAAAGCAAGAGCAATATCAGAGGGGCCTGGAGACATGACTGATGAACAAAGAAAATGTTATTTTAGAGCCAGGAATGTCTGCATTGTTCATTCTGGACCTTATTTTGAAATTGTCATATTTTTTAATTTTCACGAAATTGGCCAAATTGCAAATTTCTGACCACATTATTGGGTAGTTGAAATCGGTAAATGGGCAGTTTCTTGTACTCAGTCGATAGAGAAAATGGAGTTCTAAAGAAATAGCTATGAGTTTGGTCGACTGGAGCAACAGAAGTAGCCGAAAATAGGGCTCAAAGTGGGCGAAATCGCCGATTTGTAAATATCGCCGAGGTCGCTAACTTCGCGAGAGCATAATTCCGTCAGTTTTCCATCAAATTTCGTTTTTTTGGTGTCATTACAATCTGGAAAAGATTCTCTATCATTTCATAAGAAATTTTTTTTTTTTTTTTTTAATTTCGCGACACCAGGAGACACCTCAGGATTGGGGGTTGCGATAGTCAAAGGGTTAAATATTGCATTATCATAATATTACATTTACTGTTAGGATTGTTTAGACAAAATGTGAGTGGGAAATTGAGCAAGAACACCGAAGAAAATCTTATGGGTAATATTCAGTTTATGGATGGAATATGTACCAAGTCAGAGAGAAAACAATGAGTTATTAACAAGAGATCCTGCATTAAAAAAAATTTGGTAATTGAAACTCCTGAATTTGGAAGGTTGTTGTTTTTGGGTGTTTGGGTATATAATGTGTAGCTATGATTGTAGTTGAGATATTGGTAGTTGTAAACAGTACATACTTCAGAGTAAATAATACAGTGTAGTAGTAATGTGCATATTTTTTTTTTTAACTAAGTCGGCTGTCTCCCACCGAGGCAGGGTGACCCAAAATGAAAGAAAATCCCCAAAAAGAAAATGCTTTCATCATCTTTCAACACTTTCACTTCACTCATACATAATCACTATCTTTGCAGAGGTTCCCAGATACAACAGTTTAGGAGGATATATAACATACCCCTCCAAACTGCCAGTATCCCAAACCCCTCCTGTAAAGTGCAGGCATTGTACTTCCCATTTCCAGTACTCAAGTCTGGCTGTATAAAAATAACCGGTTTCCCTGAATCCCTTCACTAAATGTTACCCTGCTCACACTCCAACAGCTTGTCAGGTCCCAAAAACCATTCGTCTCCATTCACTCTTTTCTAACACACTCACACATGTAGTAATTATATTAGTAACAAACTATGTTGTGAGTTATAGTAGTTACGTACTTAATTTTTATGAACAGATCATGCTAAATTGTATTGGATCTTAGATATTGTTTTATAAATGTACTTATAGTAAGTTATGATTTATGCTGTGGGACCCTGGAGGGCTCAGTTAAAATTAACAGATTAATATGGGGGAGAGGGTGTATATTATTGCCAATTCGCCCATAGATTCTGTATTATGAAATTAATTTTTTGTGATTATTACATAAACAGACCGCATTCTCGTGTCTACACTCATGAATGACATTACTCACAATTCACATGTAACCCACACATTGGAGAATGAAACTTATGACTACATTTTGGACCAGCTTAGACCATTAACTAGGCATGATAAGTTTCATTCTCCTATGTGTGGGTAATTTGTGAATTGTTCCAGTCATGGTATTGTGCCTTTTTATTCTTTGACTTATGCTAGCTTGTATGTATATTCAGATAACTGTAGCTTGTGCTGAAATTCTCTGAACTTTGTTCCTCTTTTAGGTTTAACAGCCGTGAGAAGTGAAGATGTACTGGATGTTATGTTTGCTGATTTTCCCGTCAAATTTGAAGCATTACAAAGACTCTTGAGAGAACGAAAAGAGAATGAAATTAGAGAGAGAGGAAAAGGTGAGCTTGTCTTTATGCTTCAGTGATTTAGGGTTAAATAGCATAATTGTTATATATTATGAATTTCTACCAAATGTGGGTGGCTACACTTCTACTTCTACCTTTTATAGTTTTTTGCCCTAGACATTACCTTTTGTTCCCATAAACCACATATAAACAGGTTGCATGTTAACTAGTGCCAAAGCTTGTATATCTACTCTGTACCATATACAGTTTATGGATGGAATGTGTACCAAATCATAGAAAATAATATGAGTTATTAGGAAGAGATCATGCATTAAAAAAAAGGTGTGAGTATATAACAAAGGCAGAGAGCAGAAGCCAACATAGTCCATATTGAATGCATATGCAGAGAGGGCCTATCATAAGTCTGGCTATCTTAATTTTTCTGTTTAATTGAGATTGGGATAGTATATCAGAAGGCTCTCTTCCCACCATCCATTCCCTCTTAACTAGAAAGCCTGAGGTCTTGCACTTTCAACTTTTGTGTTAAACTTTCTAAAAATGTAAAATAAATATCAAACTCAATTCTCCTTTAGAGACATTATCTTGCACTGGGATTTTTCATTAATTTTCGGTAATTTTCATTTTAGTTTTGGTTCCTGCATCTTTACCCTTTCAGGGTTGGTGCCATACTAGTACGGCTTGCATGCCAGGGTTGGTGCTGTACTAGTACACATAAATTCTAGCACCTTCAAATCTAGCGAGAGAAAGCTGGTAGGCCTACATATGAAAGAATGGGTCTATGTGGTCAGTGTGCACGGTATAAAAAAATCCTGCAGCACACAGTGCATAATGAGAAAAAAATAACTCCGACTGTGTTTTTGGTTTAAAACAGCGACTTTGCAGTGTATTTTCGTATGCTATTTATGGTTGTATTCTAGTTTTCTTGGTCTCATTTTATAGAATGGGAAACATGTTATGGAAACTGAGATGATTTTGATTGGTTTCATAATGAAAAGTACCTTGAAATTGAGCTCAAAGTAGCAGAAATGTTCGATTTATGCCAAAGTTCAAAGGTAAACAAATCATGCCACGTGTCCAATACATGTCAACTGGTGAGTGTAATATTCTTTCACAAGTGCCCTGATATTATTTATACCATTTGTACGCCATTTCTACACGAATGCAGTAATCTGCATAACATAAATCTTTTTTTTTTTTTGTGAGAATAAAAATTCAAAGTGGAAAGCAAAAGAAATGTAACAGAGGCCTAGGGACATGAGTAATGAACAGAGGAAATGTTATTTTAGTGCCAGAAATGTCTGTCTTGCTTATTCTGGACCCTATTTGGAAATTGGCATCTTTTGAAATTTGTGTGAAATTGGCAAAATTGCCAATTTCTGACCATGTTATTGGATAGTTGAAATCGGTAAATGAGTGGTTTCTTTTACTCATCCGATAGAAAAAATGGAGTTCTAGCGAAATAGGTATGATTTTTGTCGACTGGTACATAGGAATTGGCTGAAAATAGGGCTCAAAATGGGTGAAATCGCCGATGCGTAAACATTATTGAGACAGCCAACTTCGCAAGAGCATAATTCCGTAAGTTTTCCATCAAATTTCATACTTTTAGTGTCATTATGGTCGGGAAAATTTCTCTTATCATTTCATAAGAAAAAATAATTTTTGTTTTTTCCGAAAAATTTCCAACCCTGAGAACAAGTTTAGGAGAGGGCCTGCCGACCCTGAAAGGGTTAATACAAGTACTAAATAAGAAGGATGACACAATCCATTCCATGTTCACCTTTTATTACCAAAATATTACCTAGAAGGACTTTACCTATTCCATATGATATTGGTACATTATTAGTCATATATATTTGATAAGGAAAGAAAATCTGAGTGACCCTTTTTTCTTTTGTCTGTATATTGTCATTTTCTCTTTCTAACTAAAAATTGATTTCCTTCTGGTAACTAGTACTGAACATGTAAAAACTTGTTGGAATTTATTATAAATTACTTTTTTTTCCTTTTAGTGAACTACTCCTTGGCCAATATAGACAAGTCCAAGTTGCAGGAGTATGGGAGGAAGGCTGCTGAGGACGCTGCTCGATGGAATGCTAACTTCAACAAAGAAAAGAAAGATGAACGCAGGTAAGTCTTGTACATTGCTGGTCATGTACATTTAAGATGATAGGTAAATCTTAAAAATTCTTTCTTGCATTCAGTATTTATCTTTACTTTCAATTTGCTTCTAGTTTTTATTCATTTAGTACTGTATTTCTTTTATGATTTGGCAGGCTTGATTTTATACTGTCTCAAGGGCCACTGATCCTCAGAACAATTAATAGATAAAGTAGGCCCCCCCATTTATGCTAATGCATTTCAGACGGAATGTATTTTCTTAGACACCTATGTAAAATTCGAGATGCATTCTTGGGTCATGATATTCTAATTTCATTTGTTTTTTAACTACGACTATTTACCCAATATTTTACATTCAGTTATCTTCTTTTTCACATACAAAATAGTCTTAAACATTGTTTTAATCAAAGGCCATCTGAACTGTGATGTCACTACACTTCTGGCAAGATGGATTAAATGAATGATGGTGATACGTTTCTTCTTTTTGAGTCACCTTACCACAGTGGGAGATGGCTGGTGTATTAATTAAACAGAGTAGAGCTACAGTAAAGTATTTAGAGTACATTTTCTAAGTTGACTGTACAGAATCAAGGTTGCTTCACTCTGATAATTTTGAATACTTTAAACAACTTGTCTGTTAATCTTTGCCTTACAAAGCTAAATAAAGCCAGCTATCCTAAATTAATTTCATAGTTTATTTATTTACCTCTGAATCTGGGAAACATTGTTGTCTTGCAGTGCTGGACACCTTCCAGTTTGTCAGTGTGTATCTTTTCTTATAATAGGTGATCAGAACTGCACAAAATATTCTGCAGAATGATGATCTCTCATGAAAAGTGTCTTGTCAATGAGGGGTTCTTGTTTAAAAAGCTGGGCTTTTCTTCCCCTTCCTCGGATCGTACCTGAATGCCCCCTATTCCTGAAGTTCTGATCCCTAGGGGCTTAGTACTTTCGCATAAAGTAAATAAATAAATATAAGAAGAGCAGAGTATATGGAGAGTAAAAGAAAGTTAAAAAGAGTGGTGAGAGGTTGCAAAAGGAGAGCAGATGATAGAGTGGGAGAGGCACTGTCAAGAAATTTTAATGAAAATAAGAAAAAATTTTGGAGTGAGTTAAACAAGTTAAGAAAGCCTAGGGAAAGTATGGATTTGTCAGTTAAAAACAGAGTAGGGGAGTTAGTAGATGGGGAGATGGAGGTATTAGGTAGATGGCGAGAATATTTTGAGGAACTTTTAAATGTTAAGGAAGAAAGAGAGGCAGTAATTTCATGCACTGGTCAGGGAGGTATACCATCTTTTAGGAGTGAAGAAGAGCAGAATGTAAGTGTGGGGGAGGTACGTGAGGCATTACATAGAATGAAAGGGGGTAAAGCAGCTGGAACTAATGGGATCATGACAGAAATGTTAAAAGCAGGGGGGGATATAGTGTTGGAGTGGTTGGTACTTTTGTTCAATAAATGTATGAAAGAGGGGAAGGTACCTAGGGATTGGCAGAGAGCATGTATAGTCCCTTTATATAAAGGGAAAGGGGACAAAAGAGACTGTAAAAATTATAGAGGAATAAGTTTACTGAGTATACCAGGAAAAGTGTACGGTAGGGTTATAATTGAAAGAATTAGAGGTAAGACAGAATGTAGGATTGCGGATGAGCAAGGAGGTTTCCGAGTGGGTAGGGGATGTGTAGATCAAGTGTTTACATTGAAGCATATATGTGAACAGTATTTAGATAAAGGTAGGGAAGTTTTTATTGCATTTATGGATTTAGAAAAGGCATATGATAGAGTGGATAGAGGAGCAATGTGGCAGATGTTGCACGTATATGGAATAGGTGGTAAGTTATTAAATGCTGTAAAGAGTTTTTATGAGGATAGTGAGGCTCAGGTTAAGGTGTGTAGAAGAGAGGGAGACTACTTCCCGGTAAAAGTAGGTCTTAGACAGGGATGTGTAATGTCACCATGGTTGTTTAATATATTTATAGATGGGGTTGTAAAGGAAGTAAATGCTAGGATGTTCGGGAGAGGGGTGGGATTAAATTTTGGGGAATCAAATTCAAAATGGGAATTGACACAGTTACTTTTTGCTGATGATACCGTGCTTATGGGAGATTCTAAAGAAAAATTGCAAAGGTTAGTGGATGAGTTTGGGAATGTGTGTCAAGGTAGAAAGTTGAAAGTGAACATAGAAAAGAGTAAGGTGATGAGGGTATCAAATGATTTAGATAAAGAAAAATTGGATATCAAATTGGGGAGGAGGAGTATGGAAGAAGTGAATGTTTTCAGATACTTGGGAGTTGACATGTCGGCGGATGGATTTATGAAGGATGAGGTTAATCATAGAATTGATGAGGGAAAAAAGTGAGTGGTGCGTTGAGGTATATGTGGAGTCAAAAAAACGTTATCTATGGAGGCAAAGAAGGGAATGTATGAAAGTATAGTAGTACCAACACTCTTATATGGGTGTGAAGCTTGGGTGGTAAATGCAGCAGCGAGGAGATGGTTGGAGGCAGTGGAGATGTCCTGTTTAAGGGCAATGTGTGGTGTAAATATTATGCAGAAAATTCGGAGTGTGGAAATTAGGAAAAGGTGTGGAGTTAATAAAAGTATTAGTCAGAGGGCAGAAGAGGGGTTGTTGAGGTGGTTTGGTCATTTAGAGAGAATGGATCAAAGTAGAATGACATGGAAAGCATATAAATCTATAGGGGAAGGAAGGCGGGGTAGGGGTCGTCCTCGAAAGGGTTGGAGAGAGGGGGTAAAGGAGGTTTTGTGGGCAAGGGGCTTGGACTTCCAGCAAGCGTGCGTGAGCGTGTTAGATAGGAGTGAATGGAGACGAATGGTACTTGGGACCTGACGATCTGTTGGAGTGTGAGCAGGGTAATATTTAGTGAAGGGATTCAGGGAAACCGGTTATTTTCATATAGTCGGACTTGAGTCCTGGAAATGGGAAGTACAATGCCTGCACTTTAACCCTTTGAGGGTCGACAGGCCCTCTCCGAAACTCGTTCTCAGGGTCGGCCAAATTTAAAAAAAAAAAAATTATTTTCTCTTATGAAAAGATAGAGAATCTTTTCCCGATCATAAAGACACCAAAAGTTTGAAATTTGATAGAAAACTTACGGAATTATGCTCTCGCAAAGTTAGCGGTCTCGGCGATGTTTACGCATCGGCGATTTTGCCCACTTTGAGCCCCATTTTCGGCCAATTTCACTGTACTAGTCGACAAAAAACATGAATATTCCGCTAGAACTCCATTTTTTCTATCGAATGAGTGCAAGAAACCACCCATTTATAAATTCAACTATCCAGTACAGTGGTCAGAATTTAGCAATTTTGCCAATTTCACACAAATTTCAAAAGATGCCAATTTCCGAATAGGGTCCAGAATAAACAAGAAAGACATTCCTGGCACTAAAATGACATTTCCTCTAGTCATTAGTCACGTCTCAAGGCCCCTCTTATATTCTTTTCCTTTCCACTTTGAATTTTTATTCTCACAAAAAATATAAGATTTACTGTTATGCAGACTACTGCATTAGTGTAAAAAATGGTATAAATATTATTGGTGCACTTGTGAAAGAATATTAGACTCACCAGTTGACGTGTATTGCATGCTTGGCACGATTTGTTTACTTTTGAAGTTTGGTAAAAATCGAACATTTCTGCTACTTTGAGCTCAATTTCAAGGCACCTTTCATTGTAAAACCAGTCAAAATCATCTCAATTTCTGTAATATGTCTTCCATTCTATAAAATGAGACCAAGAAAACTAGAATACAACAATAAATACCATACGAAAATACACTGCAAAGTCGCTGATTTATTAAAAAAAAATGGTAAAAGTTTTTTTTTTTCTCATTATGCACTGTGTGCTGCAGGATTTTTTTTAGACTGTGCACACTGACCACATAGACCCATTCTTTCATATGAAGGCCTACCAGCTTTCTCCCACTAGATTTGAGGCCGCTAGAATTTATGAGTACTAGTACGTCAAAAACCCCTACGCGTAAGACGTACTAGTACGACGAAAACCCTCAAAGGGTTAAAGGAGGGGTTTGGGATATTGGCAGTTTGGAGGGATATGTTGTGTATCTTTATATGTGTATGCTTCTAAACTGTTGTATTCTGAGCACCTCTGCAAAAACAGTGATAATGTGTGAGTGTGGTGAAAGTGTTGAATGATGATGAAAGTATTTTCTTTTTGGGGATTTTCTTTCTTTTTTGGGTCACCCTGCCTCGGTGAGAGACGGCCGACTTGTTGGGAAAAAAAAAAAAAAGATGTAAGTGAACAGAACGTTATTTTTTAGTTTCAAATTCGAATGATCTACCTACAAAGGCAGAGATTATTTTTTGGCATTCTTTTATTGTCTCCATTTATGGTTTGCTGGGCTTCAAATTATTTGCCACTATTACTACTAGGTTTATATTTTTTATTTGTTTACCTTAAGCAGGGTGGCCCAAAAAAGAAAAACGAAAGTTTAAATTTATTTTATTATTCGTTAAATAACTTACCATTGATGAAGTCGATATTAATAATATGAGAACTAATGGATAATAAATTCAATTGCAGGTACAGCTTTGACCTGCAGACATTCACCCTGCAGCTGCCTATTGGTCGTGGCAAGAAACTACCTGGTGAATTTACCAAGATAGGCTATTATCCAGTAGCTGTACTTCCTGGACAGTACACTGATTATTACAGACCGTAAGTGCTCATCCCGGTTATTATGTTTTGGAGATGTACTGTGCTTACCATACTGTATTAAATATGCTAACTGTGTATAATTACATATTAGGGTTTACAGGGGGTGAGATCTAGCTCTTGGCCCCATTTAATTTTCAGATGATTCATGCAAAATAGTTTTGTCATGTGAGAAAAGAAGGGAAAGGGGCTGGAGCATAGTGCTCACCCACTGTGTGCTCAGACCTGCCTGTTGTGTTTGTGTGGATGTTGGCACAATTTATGTCCACTTCAGGTACAGACTAGTCTGCAGTGTCTGGGGCCCTATTACATGCACCCATCTTGTGCTCAGACTTTCCTTTGCATGGAAAAGCTAAAGTAGACCGTTATATTACACGGATTTATTTGCCACGTTTTGGTTATTGTACTACTGAAAAATTGTGGCACAGTTTTATACAACACTTCATAAAATTAACACGGTTCTGTTTGCGGGCGCAGAAAAAACTTCCCCAGCTCAAGCTGCCGCCTGGCTGTGGGTCAGCAAGGGAGACCTCCTGCCATCCCTTGTCACCCCTGACACTCCTGCCACCCCCATTCCAGCCTTCATAAATGTGTGTCCAGTTCCATTCTGTCTTAGGACAGAATTGTGTTTTGATCTTTTAATTGCCATATCTTGTATCTGCCAAGTAATCATAGCACCCAGTAGGCATATGAGTGTTGCTGGAAGTGGCAAGAAAAGGTATAAATGTTTAAGTTTTCGAATTAACGAAGAAAATAGAGATATTAGGGAAGAGATAGCCTGTGGCCTTAATGAAGTGTCAGTTTGTACATTTCAAAAGAATGAGGTAAATATATGAGTTTGTGTGATGAATAACTGACTGACTGACTTATTTGACTTGATTGACTTGTTTGACTTGACTGACTGACTTGACTGACTGACTTGACTGACTGACTGACTGACTGACTTGACGGACTGACTGACTGACTGACTAACTTGACTAACTTGACTGACTGACTGACTTGACTGACTGACTGATTTGACTGACTGACTGATTTGACTGACTGACTGACTGATTTTGACTGACTGACTGACTGATTTGACTGACTGACTGATTTGACTGACTGACTGATTTGACTGACTGACTGACTGACTGATTTGACTGACTGATTTGACTGACTGACTGACTGATTTGACTGACTGATTTGACTGACTGACTGACTGATTTGACTGACTGACTGATTTGACTGACTGACTGATTTGACTGATTGACTGATTTGACTGACTGACTGATTTGACTGACTGACTGATTTGACTGACTGACTGACTTGACTGACTGACTGACTGACTGACTTGACTGACTGACTTGACTGACTGACTTGACTGACTGACTTGACTGACTGACTGACTTGACTGACTGACTGACTTGACTGACTGACTGACTTGACTGACTGACTGACTTGACTGACTGACTGACTTGACTGACTGACTGACTTGACTGACTGACTGACTTGACTGACTGACTGACTTGACTGACTGACTGACTTGACTGACTGACTGACTTGACTGACTAACTTGACTGACTAACTTGACTGACTAACTTGACTGACTAACTTGACTGACTTGACTTGACTGACTAACTTGACTGACTAACTTGACTGACTAACTTGACTGACTAACTTGACTGACTAACTTGACTGACTAACTTGACTGACTAACTTGACTGACTAACTTGACTGACTAACTTGACTGACTAACTTGACTGACTAACTTGACTGACTAACTTTGCTGACTAACTTGACTGATTTACTGACTGGCTGACTTAAAGTTAGACTTTTTCACTGAAGATTACCCTGACAAATCTCAAAGCAGTGGTGTCTAGAGCAGCTGATACTTTACCATCAGCTGTATAATGTACTGCAGGGTAAAATAGCCCAGAAACCCATTGCAGAATTTATACACACTGCAGTACAACCATCAACTTCAGTACCAGAACCTCTACCATCCACCTCAGCCCAGTAGGACCACAACATAACTCTCCACTCTCTTCACAATCATCCACAAACACCAGCACCCACAATTTAAGGTAAGAAATACTACTATTTCTATTGCATTTAGTCTTAAGCAGTAAAAACAATATAATACATCACTACAATTACATATTCACTTTCATTTTTGTAAGATCTGGGGGTCTAAAAAAAAGTTGTTTGACTTTTTTGGGGTCTCCAGGAATGTAACCCTATTTTTCCCATAAGTTCTTCAGTATCTAACATGGATTTATCTAACATGGTGTTTTCAGGAACGTAACTACATGTAATTTAACGGTCTACTTTATATTAATATTTCTAGGTAATTTGATATGAAGATTTTAAGTTTTATTTTTTATTTTGCATGTGTGTAATAAAATTTTAGTGTATCTTGTGTCCCATTTTTATTTTCTTTGCAGGTACTCATCATTGGCCTTAAAAACTATGCCTTTGGGTACAGTAGTTGCTGCTCCCATTTCTCAAGATAATTTAGGCTCTGGAGCCAGCTCTGATTCAGAAGAGGATGCTGCAAGGTTTGTGTACACTTTAATTGACAGTAGTCTTCCATCAGCTATTTTTTTTATTTATTATCACACCGGCCGATTCCCACCAAGGCAGGGTGGCCCGAAAAAGAAAAACTTTCACCATCATTCACTCCATCACTGTCTTGCCAGAAGGGTGCTTTACACTACAGTTTTTAAACTGCAACATTAACACCCCTCCTTCAGAGTGCAGGCACTGTACTTCCCATCTCCAGGACTCAAGTCCGGGCCCGCCGGGTTTTCCCCGAATCCCTTCATAAATGTTACTTTGCTCACACTCCAACAGCACGTCAAGTAAATTTAAAAACCATTTGTCTCCATTTTACTCCTATCAACACGCTCACGCATGCCTGCTGGAAGTCCAAGCCCCTCGCACACAAAACCTCCTTTAACCCCCTCCCTCCAACCCTTCCTAGGCCGACCCCTACCCCGCCTTCCTTCCACTACAGACTGATACAAATCTGAAGTCATTCTGTTTCGCTCCATTCTCTCTACATGTCCGAACCACCTCAACAACCCTTCCTCAGCCCTCTGACAACAGTTTTGGAAACCCACACCTCCTCCTAACTTCCAAACTACGAATTCTCTGCAAATTATATTCACACCACACATTGCCCTCAGACATGACATCTCCACTGCCTCCAGCCTTTTCCTCGCTGCAACATTCATCACCCACGCTTCACACCCATATAAGAGCGTTGGTAAAAAATATACTCTCATACATTCCCCTCTTTGCCTCCAAGGACAAAGTTCTTTGTCTCCACAGACCTCCTAAGTGCACACTCACTCTTTTTTCCCTCATCAATCTATGATTTCACCTCATCTTTTATAGACCCATCCGCTGACACGTCCACCCCCAAATATCTGAATACGTTCACCTCCTCCATACTCTCTCCCTCCAATCTGATATCAATCTTTCATCACCTAATCCTTTTTTTTATCCCATAACCTTACTCTTTCCTGTATTCACCTTTAATTTTTCTTCTTTTGCACACCCTAAACCAAATTCATCCACCAATCTCTGCAACTTCTCTTCAGAATCTCCCAAGAAACACAGTGTCATCAGCAAAGAGCAGCTTTTTGACAACTCCCACTTTGTGTGTGATTCTTTATCTTTTAACTCCACCCTCTTGCCAAACCCTCGCATTTACTTCTCTTAAAAACCCCATCTATAAATATATTAAACAACCACGGTGACATCACACATCCTTGTCTAAGGCCTACTTTTACTGGGAAAAAATTTCCCCTTTCCTACATACTCTAACTTTAGCCTCACTATCCTCGTAAAAACTCTTCACTGCTTTCAGTAACCTACCTCCTACACCATACACTTGCAACATCTGGGCCCCATTGCCCCCCTATCCACCCTGTCATACGCCTTTTTTCCCAAAAACCATAAATGCCACAAAGACCTCTTTAGCCTTATCTAAATACTGTTCACTTATATGTTTCACTGTAAACACCTGGTCCACACACCCCCTACCTTTCCTAAAGCCTCCTTGTTCATCTGCTATCCTATTCTCCATCTTACTCTTAATTCTTTCAATTATAACTCTACCATACACTTTACCAGGTACACTCAACAGACTTATCCCCCATCAGCTATACCTTGCAATAAATATTTAAAGGAAATTATATTTTCTGATAATTTATTTTGAGTAACATTTTTGCAGTAATAACTTGTGCATATAATTCACCCATCTGTAAAAGCAGCTGTGAGGTAGTATACAAAAATAACCCATACATAGGAGAAAGAAATTTATGATGACGTTTCACTCCAGTAGTAGTAGTAGTAGTAGTAGTAGTAGTAGGTTGGTAGACAGGGAGGTACTACCGTCCTGCCAAGTGAGTGTAAAACGAAAGCCTGTAATTGTTTTACATGATGGTAGGATTGCTGGTGTCTTTTGTCTGTCTCATAAATATGCAAGATTACAGGCATGTCTTGCTACTTCTACTTACACTTAGGTCACACTACACATACATGTACACGTTTATTTATACACACTCATCTGAGTTTTCTTTGATTTTATCTTAATAGTTCTGTTGGAGTGTGAGCAGGGTAATATTTAGTGAAGGGATTCAGGGAAACCGGTTATTTTCATATAGTCGGACTTGAGTCCTGGAAATGGGAAGTACAATGCCCCGCACTTTAAAGGAGGGTTTGGGGTATTGGCAGTTTGGAGGGATATGTTGTGTATCTTTATATGTGTATGCTTCTAGACTGTTGTATTCTGAGCACCTCTGCAAAAACAGTGATAATGTGCGAGTGTGGTGAAAGTGTTGAATGATGATGAAAGTATTTTCTTTTTGGGGATTTTCTTTCTTTTTTGGGTCACCCTGCCTCGGTGGGAGACGGCCGACTTGTTGAAAAAAAAAAAAAAAAAAAAGTTCTTGGTCTTATACTTTTTCCTTTTATATCCATGGGGAAGTGAATAAGAATCTTTCCTCCGTAAGCCATGCGTGTTGTAAAAGTCAACTAAAATGCCGGGAACAATGGGCTAGTAATCCCTTTTCCTGTAAAGATTACTAAAAAGAATAAGAAGAAGAAAATTGTCAAAGTGGGAAGTCTGAATGTGCGTGATGTTGTGCAAATGATAAGAAAGAGATGATTGTGGATGTTATGAATGAGAAGAAACTGGATGTCCTGCTTTAAGTGAAAAAATAGCTGAAGGGGTGGGAGAGTTTCAATGGAGAGAATAAATGGGATTAGGTCAGGGGTTTCAAATAGAGTTAGAGCTAAAGAAGGAGTAGCAATAATGTTGAAGGATAAGCTATGGCAGGAAAAGAGGGACTACAAATGTATAAATTCAAGGATTATGTGGAGTAAAATAAATGATTGGATGTGAAAAGTGGGTTATAGTAAGTGTGTATGCACCTGGAGAAGAGAGAAGTGTAGAGGAGAGAGAGAGATTCTGGAAATGTTGAGTGAATGCGTGGGGAGTTTTGAATCAAGTGTGAGAGTAATGGTGGTTGGGGATTTCAATGCTAAAGTGGGTAAAAATGTTATGGAGGGAGTAGTAGTAAATTTGGGGTGCCAGGGGTAAAATGTAAATGGGGAACCTTTAATTGAGCTATGTGTAGAAAGAAATTTGGTAATAAGTAATACATATTTTATGAAAAAGAGGATAAATATACAAGGTATGATGTAGCACGTAATGAAAGTAGTTTGTTAGATTATGTATTTGGTGATAAAAGGTTGATGGTAGGCTCCAGGATGTACATGTTTATAGAGGGCAACTGATATATCGGATCATTATTTAGTTGTAGCTACAGTTAGAGTAAGAGGCAGATGGGAAAAGAGGAAGGTGGCAACAAGAAGTAAGAGGAGGTGAAAGTGTATAAACTAAGGGAGGAGGAAGTTCGGGCGAGATATAAGCGACTATTGGCAGAAAGGGGGGCTAGTGCAAAGATGAGTAGTGGGGGTTTGAAGAGGGTTTGGAATAGTTTTAAAAATTAAGTATTAGAATGTGGGGCAGAAGTTTGTGGTTATAGGAGGGGGGGGGCAGGAGGAAAGAGAGTGATTGGTGGAAATGATGAAGTAAAGGGTGTGATAAAAGAGAAAAAGGTAGCTTACGAGAGGTTTTTACAAAGCAGAAGTGTTATAAGAAGAGCAGAGTATATGGAGAGTAAAAGAAAGGTGAAGAGAGTGGTGAGAGAGTGCAAAAGGAGAGCAGATGATAGAGTGGGAGAGGCACTGTCAAGAAATTTTAATGAAAATGAAAAAAAAAAATTTTGGAGTGAGTTAAACAAGTTAAGAAAGCCTAGGGAAAGTATGGTTTTGTCAGTTAAAAACAGAGTAGGGGAGTTAGTAGATGGAGAGAGGGAGGTATTAGGTAGATGGCGAGAATATTTTGAGGAACTTTTAAATGTTGAGGAAGAAAGGGAGCGTAATTTCATGCACTGGCCAGGGAGGTATAACCATCTTTAGGAGTGAAGAAGAGCAAATGTAAGTGTGGTGGAGGTATGTGAGGCATTACGTAAATGAAAGGGGTAAAGCAACTGAACTGATGGGATCATGACAGAAATGTTAAAAGCAGGGGGGATATAGTGTTGGAGTGGTTGGTACTTTTTGTTTAAAAAAATGTATGAAAGAGGGAAGGTACCTAGGGATTGGCGGAGAGCATGTATAGTCCCTTTATATAAAGGGAAAGGGGACAAAAGAGATTGTAAAAATTATAGAGGAATAAGTTTTACTGAGTTACCGGGAAAAAAGTATACTAGGGTTAAATTGAAAGTTAAAGGGGAAAGACAGAATGTAGGATTGCGGTAAGAAAGACTTCAGAGTGGGTAGGGGATGTTAATCATTTTTTACATTGAAATATATGTGAACATATTTGATAAAGGTGGGAAATTTTTTATTGCATTTATGGATTTGAAAAGGCATATGATGGTGGATAGGGGCAATGGGGGCAGATGTTGCAATATAGGAATAGGGGGTAAGTTCTAAATGCTGTAAAGAGTTTTTATGAGGATGTGGGGCTCAGGTTAGGTTGTAGGGGAAGGGAGAATATTTCCGGTAAAATTTAGGTTTAAACAGGGTGTGAAAATGTCACCAGGTTTTTTAATATTTTTTTATAGAGGGGGTTTGTAAAAGAAGTAAATGCTGGGGTGTTGGGGAGAGGGGGGGATTAAATTATGGGGAATAAAATTTAAAAAAGGGAACTGACACAGTTACTTTTTGCTATGTACTGTGCTTATGGGATTCTAAAGAAAAATTGAAAAGGGTTAGGGAGAGTTTAAAAATTGTGTAAAGGTGAAATTTGAAAGGAACATAGAAAAGAGAAAGGGTGATGAGGGTATAAAATTTTTAGTAAAAAAAAATTGGATATCAAATTGGGGAGGAGGGTAGGAAAAGTAAAATTTTTTCAGATATTTGGGTAGTTGACGGTCAGCGGATGGATTTATGAAGGAAGGTTTTAAACATAGAATTGATGAGGGAAAAAAGGTATGGTGTGTTTTTTGGGTTTTTGGAGTCAAAAAATGTTTTATGGAGGCAAAGAAGGGGTTATGAAAGTATAGTAGTACCAAAACTTTATATGGATGTGAACTTGGGTGGTAAAGCACAGGAGGAGATGGTTGGAGGCAGTGGAGATGTCCTGTTTTAAGGGCAATGTTGGTGTAAAAAATTATGCAGAAAATTCGGGTGTGGAAATTAGGAAAAAGGGGTGGAGTTAATAAAAGCATTAGTCAGAGGGGAGAAGAGGGGTTTTTTAGGTGGTTTGGTCATTTAGAGAGAATGGATCAAAATAGAATGACATGGAAAGCATATAAATCTAAAGGGGAAGGAAGGAGGGTAGGGTCGTCCTCGAAAGGGGTGGAAAAAAGGGTGTAAGGAGGTTTTGTGGGCAAGGGCTTGACTTCCAGCAAGCGTGCATGACGGTTAGATAGGAGTGAATGGAGACGAATGATACTTGGGACCTGACGATCTGTTGGAGTGTGAGCAGGGTAATATTAGTGAAGGGATTCAGGAAACCGGTTATTTTCATATAGTCGGACTTGAGTCCTGGAAATGGGAAGTACAATGCCTGCACTTTAAAGGGGGGGTTTTGGGGGATATTGGCATTTAGAGGGATATTTTTGTGTATTTTTATACGTATATGCTTCTTAACTGTTGTATTCTGAGCACCTCTGCAAAAACAGTGATAATGTGTGAGTGTGGTGAAAGTGTTGAATGATGATGAAAGTATTTTCGTTTTTGGGGATTTTCTTTCTTTTGTGGGTCACCCTGCCTTGGTAGGAGACGGCCGACTTGTTGAAAAAAAAAAAAAAAGTTTCACTCCAACTTGGATCATTAACTAGTCACTAGTTAATGGACGAAGTTCGACTGAAATGTTGTCATAAGTTTCTTTCTGCTATGTGCAGGTTATTTATGTATTGTTCCAGTCACTGTATTATGCCTTTTTGTTCTTTGTGAGGTAGTATGCTAGAGCTTCATCTTTGACCATACCTTCTGTACTGGAAAGGAAGTAACACAGGAGTGCAGGAGTGAGAGTTATTAAGAAACTAGTAATGGTCAATGTATACTAAATGCAGGTAGAAGTTTTCAAGATTACATGTTATCTTACATGTTCCTGAGATGAGGAAAGAGCCGATATTGGTACCAGAGTGCAAAACATTTTAAAGGTTTCCATTTCACACTTGAATGACATGTTGGTAATATCTCCCTGGATTATAGCTGACTACCACCCAGTTGTTCTTGGGTTTCCAGTTATGCTCTACTGTGGGAGAGGTTAAATAGTTACCCATTTCTCCAATTATAGCTTAATTCTTTGGCTACGTCCTCACTATAGCATCTAGTGCTGTGATACACTTTTTTCACCTATCCAGTTTTGGATCATTCTCTCCACATATTCTTGTTTCTCAGTTCAGTTGGAAACTTTCATTTACATGACTGCCAAACCAGTATGTGGTAATCTTTCAAATGTAAAATATAGTAAACTCTCTTATAGAGCAACACTACACTGAAATTTTTTGTAAACGTGATTGAAAAAAGTGCGTCTACAATGGCATACTATGTAAAAAAACTTTGATAGTATGCTAGGATGGAAACATAAAATCATTAGCAAAATCTGTGTACCATGTGCTATGAAATTTTTCCCCACTGACCAAAGTTAGGCTTAGGGGTCAAGTGTTTGGAAAAGCATAGCTACTGCTCTTCCTCACTGCCTAAAGTGCCACATACCTTGCTGTGTTTATCAACAATTCTGAATCTTATCACCCTGTTCCTTTTGGGTGCTCATTGTGGCACCCAAAAGAAATTAGCAATGCTAGAGATGTGGAAAAGAAAGATTAAGCAGCTCTTGACAGTATTGAAGAAATGAGAAATCTTAGATATGCTACAAGTGTAGGTGGTCTGCATATGTGATGTAGACCACCTACACTTTTGATCTGAGAAAAATCCATCATACATAGAGTTAGGAGACAATGAGAAGAAAATGAGAGCTTGTGAAAATAGTAGTGCAGATTGTAACCTGCTAAAACTAATATCAGAAGTTGCTAAATCTAAATAAGACAGACAAAGTGTGGAAAAAGACATTTATGTACAGTTCAGGACATTTATTAGAGGAAACATTTTGCCATGAATGGTTTCTTCAAGTGGACCAAAGAAGCCACTTGTTGTGAAATGTTCCCTCTAATAATTGTCCTGAACTATACATAAGTGTCTTCCACATCTTGTCGGTATCACCATACCAATTTTCAAGACAAGTTATTGAATATGTGGATTGAGAAGAAAACAAAGAATGGGGCATTGCTTAATGTTCAGATAATAAGGCATGAAGTCCTATCCTACTATGAAACTGTGTTTGAGAAGGAAGGAGAGCCTTTACAGCACTGTTGAATGCTCCTCACACTTCCATGTCAACGATCAATAATAATTCAAGTGTAAGATAACTATAGTACTTTCTGCAGAGTATAATAAAATATTTGGGAGCATATTTGAGAGTTTAGAACATAATCCTATTTTTCCCACATGTTCTTTGCTTCACATACCACAAATTTCCATGAGGCATCAATATTCAGGAATGTGCCCCACTTGTTATGAGAGAGTTTGCTTTACAGTGAAATGTTTAAATGTTTTAGAAACTATTTTGAGGAAATTCTTCCGTAGAAGTTGTTTCCATAGTGAGCAAGGCATCAAATATACAGATACATAATAGCTTATATATACTATATATACAATCATTCAACCATTCCAAAATATATCTGTTAAAACGCTCCTAATCTGCAGGGGCTGAAAAATTACTGTGGGAGTTTGACACTACCATGGCTGGTTCCAGACCAGGCCCTCCAGTTGACACCCTGATTAGTGAGGCTATTGGTGTTTGCTGCATAATAACATTCCTTTTACAATGTCTTATATCCTACTACATTGGGTCCTCTTGCTTTCTGCTCTTTCATGTAAAGAAGACATTTTGTTGATTAGCACCTGCAGTGCCCTTGAACTTTTGTTCATTGCATACTGTATAGAAATATTCTTGGCACCATCAAGGAGAATAAGAGACCACAGTAAAGTTATAAAAAGTATTTCTTCATAGTGTTAGTTGGAAAGTGATCTAGGATGAGCTAGTGTGCATTACAAATAACAGTATACTGGAAACTGCAATTTTATATATCTGAAATAATTTTGTAATCAGGACACCCTTGCAAACATAACTCTGCTCTTGTAACTACTAATGTGTACAGTTTTCACTAAAAGCACTTGTATATATTATGAAAAACACTAACAAAGCATGTAGAAATGCAAGATGTAAAATTAAATGTTACTGTACATAGTTTGACAAAGCATTATTGCTGCATTTGACATTCAAGAACGCTGTAGCTCGTGCTGTGCTTGTCTTTCTTTGTCTTATTAAAAACATGAGTGCTGTATTTATTCAGGTTAGCCGCAGATGCTGCCATTGAAACCAAGGATGATAAACCAGCAGAAGGAGTTCCACGGTGCAAGGTGTGCAGTGGGACAAAGCATCGCAATAAAGGAGGGAAACCTGAACCTCTCATCATTTGTGGAAACTGCCGATCAGCAAGTGAGTGATGAAACTAGGATTCTGTGTTAAATTGTAGGCAATTTGGTAATTATTTCTTAGATTTTTAATATTGTAGTCAATTAAAAATTTTACTGTGAAATACTGTCTTACCATAATATTAGTACTTGACTTTTAACAGGAAACCCTCATATTAAATTTCTCTTAACAATATCTTTGATATACCGTACCTTTGATGAGTTCCAAGCGTTTTTCTACTCATGAAGCCTGGCCATGGGCCAGGCTCGTCTGGTGCTTGTGGTCAACCAGGATTTTACCACTGGTGGCCTACTGACCCACATATCCATTACATACATATTTAGTTGATTCAAAAAAATTATGGGGGTCTAGGATCCTATAGGTTACATTCAATTCAGACTTGGCAACCATAACTAAATTTTATATGTACAATTAATTTTGCTTCAGATTTAATATATTTAAATTCATTAATGTTGCTATTTATATGAATGAATAATGAAATTGTAGCAAGATTTGGGTTGGACATTCTGTGGTTGGTTTTCAGTATAGAATCTGTACAACAGTCTAAAAGAAAATGGGCTCTGCAGCAGATCCTTCATTAAAAAAAAATTGGAAAATCAAAGCACAGGAATTTGGCTAGCCTCGAATTTGATTGTTCAACTGTATTTTGTGGGTGAACTAATATTTAGGTTCACTTCAATGTAATATCCAAATGTGATTATAATTATAATTTAGTGTTGGTGGTGGTCTACTAGTATTGCTTCATAACAGTTAGGCCATACCTCTCACTTGCCTATTCTCACCAAGGCATTGTGTTACATAGTTATTTTTTCAACACACTGGCCATCTCCCATCAAGGCAGGGTGACTTGAAAAAGAAACACTTTCACCATCATTCACACAATTACTGTCTTGCCAGAGGTGTGCAGATATCTCTTAACCCCTCCTCCTCTAGAGTGCAGGCCCTGTACTCATGTTTTTTCCATACAGCCAAAAAATAAGAATGGATTTGTGTCAGTTTGACACAAACTCCTTATGTCACAGGTTGTTCCAGCAATTAAATTGCAGTTGTCCATTGATTACCTAGTTTTGTATTTTGTACTACATCTCTAGGGTTTGAAAATACCTAATGATGAATTTTAATTGTTGAAGGTATTCTCTGTAAAGACATGAGCTAGAATGCTAATTCTTGAAGCCATGCTCGGTGAAGACATGAGCTAGAATGTTAATTGGATGGGTAAGGAAAATTGGCATCATGCTGCCCAAAAAAGGATTCCAACTTTTAAACCATGATGAGTTAGAGCTTTTCCAAAATCTACCATTTATTTCCTCTAAATTATGTATGTATGTATGTTTGACAGTTTGAAGCCTGTCATGATCTAAGATAGGAAATTTGAAAATATTGTATATTTTCCTTGAATTTGCTTTTATTTTTGTTCTGTCAGTCATTCAGTGCTTTGTCAAAATCTTTTTATATTTATGTGATGTGTTGTACCATTCATTTTGTGTGCTTCATATACATATTGTATATATTTTGTTGCTTCAGCTGTTTCTCTCCAAGGGAGGGTGATCCTGAAAAACTCAGCCATCTTCATTCATTTACCATGCCTGTGTATACGTGACTGTATAATTAGTATGTAAATGTATTTTAGGGATCATCCTAGGAAAGGATGGAGGGAGTGGGTTGGACATAAGCAGGCATGTGTGAGCATGTTAGGTAGGAGTGAATGGAGACAAATGGTTTTTGAGACTTGATGAGCTGTTGGGGTGTAAGCATGGATTCAGGGAAACTGGTTAGCCAGACTTGAGTCCTGGAGGTGGAAAGTACAATGCCTGCACTTTAAAGCAAGGGGTTTGGGATATTTGCTGTTTGGAGTGACATCTGAACTGTCATATCTGCACGCCTCAACAAAGACAGTGATTATGTGTGAAAGATGGTGAAAGTACTTTTCTTTTTTGGGTCACTCTGCCTAAGTGGAAGATGGTTGGCATGTTGAAAAAACAAATATTCTATTTCTTTTTAATACTTTTATTTTGCATACATTGTCTTTAGCTCTTGAATGTTTTCGTTTTGTTAGTCTTTCAATATTTTTTTCAGGATGCAACATATGTTTATGAAGGTTTCTTTAAGATGTATGCAGATACAGTATAACTAGATTCAAAGAAAATACATTTTTTATTTTCAGGCCATCCTACTTGTATTGACTTGACACTGATTATGGTGTCAAAGATTGAGGCTTACAACTGGCAGTGTATGGACTGCAAGTCTTGTGTTACTTGTAATGATCCAGATGATGAAGACAAGATGATCTTTTGTGATATGTGTGATCGAGGGTGAGTCATTTTTGCTATATCTGCATGTACAATTTAGGTTTTTGAAATTAAGAGTGAGAGAATGAGAGAGTGAGAATGGGAGAATGAGTGTGAGTGAGTGTGAGTGTGTGTGAGTGAGTGTGTGTGAGTGTGTGTGAGTGTGTGTGTGTGTGTGTGTGTGTGTGTGTGTGTGTGTGCATGTGTGCGTGTGTGTGTGTGGCATACTCAGAAATAAAAACGCACATGTGTGGTAAAATTTTCAAAATTATTTTTCTTGGTTTGAGAGCCTGTTGTACTAAAAATAAATATGATAGTTTATTAAAGTGTTTTCATCGTGTAACTATATACATGATTATATAAGGATATTAAGCATGTTTCAAGGTGCTTTGGTACTTAAAACGAAAACACATGGAGATGCATAGCACTCCATAGCACCAGTTGCAAAATTCATCATAAGTTAGTATACAGTGGAACCTCGGTACTCACACTTAATTCGTTCCAGAAGGCTGTTTGAGTGCCAGTCTGTTAGAGTACTGGACAAATTTTTCCCAACCAATTTTCATTTTGGTTGGCTGTTATCACTAATCTTCATATGCCCCATGGTGACGAAATAGTTTACAGCAAAGTTCTGGCAGGTCGTGTTTGTTTGGTTGAGTGCTGAGCAAACAGTCAACTACTGAGTGATTTTTTTTACTGAACAAAGCATTCGAATACTGAATTGTTAGAGTAGGGAGCTGTTCGATTACCGAGGTTCCACTGTAAATAATTGTTGCAATTATTTCTTGATTGGTTTGTCTTCTGACACTATGTACAATAAAATCTTGTATTACAATTGTTTCAAGGTATTATAATGCTCAGAACTTGAAAATAAGCTAGTGTTTGACTTCATTGGGTTATCCATGGGTAAAGACACATAATGTGCTTTTTGGCTGAATTCCACTGGAACAAATAAGGATTTTCCTGCTAGTTTCACACCTTTTTAAGGTGTGATACTTCCGAAAACCTGGAAATGTTCTTAGATTAAATCTACATGGTGTGTTTTCGGCTGAATTCCACAGTTAGTGTCAAAATTTTAATAAGTTTGGAACAAATAAGATACAGGATCTTCCTGGTAGGGTGGTGGCATGAGGTACAGTTACCCATGATGCTCTCTGTGGAACTGCCTGGTCCTAGATTTTTTCCAAGTGTGAGGAGATGGTAGGCTACCCAAACAGTTGAGCCGAGACCTGAAATGGTGGCAGGCAGTGTATTTGAAGGTGTATTACATATGACGTATGTCAGATAGTCTAGCCTCAACGTACAGTATACGTACATCACACAGTTTATGGGTTAATGTACTGTACTTTTGATTCCAAGTTCTGCTTTTTTCCCACTTAAAATTTCATATCTACTAAAAGGAATAATTGAGGCAACCATTATTTTTTTTGTTTATAGTTTATTTTCAAGATATGCCAGTGTTGAGTGTTTTACTGACATTACTCATTCATTAATCACTGCCTGCCAAACTTTTAATCATTTTATTTATGTGCAGCAGTTTATATATTCTTTAAAAAAGTAATGTACTGTATTTGCATTGCTGGTTAACCCTTTGACTGTCGCGGCCGTATATATACGTCTTACGAGGTACCGTGTTTGACGTATATATACTCATAAATTCTAGCGGCTTCAAATCAAGCAGGAGAAAGCTGGTAGGCCCACATGTGAGAGAATGGGTCTGTGTGGTCAGTGTGCACCATATAAAAAAAATCCTGGAGCACGCAGTGCATAATGAGAAAAAAAAAACTCCGACCATTTTTTTTTAATTAAAATGCCGACTTTGTGGTCTATTTTCGTATAGTATTTATGGTTGTATTCTCGTTTTCTTGGTCTCATTTGATAGAATGGAAAACATATTATAGAAATAGAGGTGATTTTGATTGATATTACTATAAAAAGAATCTAGAAATGGAGCTCAAAGTAGGGGAAATGTTTGATATTTGCCAATGTTCAAAAGTAAACAAATGATGCCATTGTCCAATAAATGTCCAACTAGCCATTCTAATATGCAGTCATGAATGGGTTGATGTTATTTATACAATTATTACAGTATTGCAGTAATCTGCATAATAGTAAGTCTTCTATTTTTTGTTTGAATAAAAATTCAAAATAGAAAGCAAGAGTAATATCAGAGGGGCCTGGAGACATGACTGATGAGCAAAGAAAATGTTATTTTAGAGCCAGGAATGTCTGCATTGTTCATTCTGGACCTTATTTTGAAATTGTCATATTTTTTAGTTTTTGTGAAATTGGCCAAATTGCAAATTTCTGACCACATTATTAGGTAGTTGAAATCGGTAAATGGGCAGTTTCTTGTACTCAATCGATAGAAAAAATGGAGTTCTAAAGAAATAGCTATGAGTTTGGGCGACAGGAACAATGGAATTAGCCGAAAATAGGGCTCAAAGTGGGCGAAATCGCCGATTTGTAAACAGCGCTGAGGTCGCTAACTTCGCGAGAGCATAATTCCGTCAGTTTTCCATCAAATTTCGTTTTTTTGGTGTCATTACAATCGGGAAAAGATTCTCTATCATTTCATAAGAAAAAATAATTTTTTTTTTTTAATTTTGCGACACCAGGAGACACGTCAGGATTGGGGGTTGCGACAGTCAAAGGGTTAAGATCAATTTAGAACAAACACCTGAAAATAATCAGAACTTCAAAGTATTAAATATGTAAAAAAAAAAAAAGTGTAACCATAGGTGTAACTATAGCTTTAAATATTTTACCCAGCACTTCAAAAAAGTCTGTCAAAATATAAAGCTAATTGCTCTCGTTTCTGTTTTTCATTTTTGGGACATTACTTAAATGCATATAATATTCTCTAACTCACTTTATCTGCCCACCTTCTTGACCATACTCTCCTATCAGATTTATTCATTATGCACTTTGTTGATTTTGGAAATTCTTCTGCAGACTACCCTGTTGATTGCCTGACCACTTCAATCATCCATTTAATCAGTAGGACTACACATCTGTCCTAAAATTAGACTTGTGAATCCTTACCCTGTCTCTCTAGTATACCTCATATACTCTGTTAATTATCCAGCTCTGCTGCTGTGACTTTATTCTTCCTGTTCACACTTCAATATTGTTTCACATATGCATCTTTATAACTGCATCCTGGTCTGCCTTACTTTCTATAATGGCTTGTGTTACATCTAACACTTTCCTCTTCTGATTCAATTTGCTCCTATTTTTTTCCCATTTACATATTCTAGATATTTATATTTCTTCTTTCAACAGACCAGCTGCATCCCACCAAGGTAGGGTGGCCCAAAAAGAAGAACAAAAGTTTCTCTTTTAAAGTTTAGTAAATGTATACAGGAGAAGGGGTTACTAGCCCCTTGCTCCCAGCATGTTAGTCGCCTCTTACGACACGCATGGCTTATGGAGGAAGAATTTTGTTCCACTTCCCCATGGAGAGCATTTATCTTTCATTATTATTATTATTATTTATAGAAGGTGCTAAATATATAAGGGTAATAGAGCACTTGGAGGAATGGGAGGTAATCAAGTTTGATCCATGGGATAGTTACAATTCCTTAGATCAAAGTCCTTCACCAGCATCAAGTCATCCCCTTGAAGGTTTCATTTGTCATTTGACACCCATTTTACTCAACTTTTTTTTTCAACTCTTTGTTTATATTAACATTTTTTCTATAGAATTATAAAATGTTATTTTTATAGGTACCACATCTACTGTGTTGGTTTGCGGCGTGTACCCAATGGCCGTTGGCATTGTAAGGAGTGTGCCATATGCTCGTCATGTGGCTCCAAGACTCCAGCTGGTATTGAACACTTGAAAAATGCTGAATGGCAGCATGAGGTAAGAACATGTTGCGAAAAGTCTTTACTGTATCAGCATTTCAAAAATTTTTTAGCGTTTGCCCCATCGAAGGAGGCAATTTACTGAGTAAACTTCTTGTGGAGAAAATTTTCTCCACATGACTGAAGGGGATTGAAAGGAACTTTCCTAATGCTAATGAAAAGTAATGTGGCTCCATAGGAAAAGGATAACTATTATATACCAGTGAAGTATTCCCCTAACTTAAAAGTTAGACTTTACTAAGCAATAGTTATTGAAAAAACGTGTGAGGGAATTGAATAATTTCAAAGCCTTTTTATTTCAGTTTAAAAAAGACAAGGACAACAAACAGCTAAGATATGCAACCACGCTGTGTGTTCCATGTGATAAATATTGGAAACGAAGACAGTTTTGCTATGTGTGCTTGAAGGTGTACAGAAGTATTCCAGAGGACGGGATGGTACGATGCTCCAACTGTCCCAAATATATTCATCGAGAAGGCAAGTTTCACTTAAATGTGGTGTTGCTTTATTTTTCACTGCTTTCTTATATGCAGCGGAGTGTTTAGTGTGTGTGCTCTTGCTTAATATACTGCAGAATGACTTTAAAAGTAGTGTATATTGCTTGGTTTTTGTTCTTTTTAGCTATATCATAGTTTGTTCGTATATTTTCACTTCAAAATGGGAGTTGACACAGTTACTTTTTGCTGATGATACTGTGTTTATGGGAGGTTGCAAAGGTTAGCGGACAAGTTTGGGAGGGTGTATAAAGGTAGAAAGTCGAAAGTGAACATAGATAAGAGTCAAGTGTTTGGCCCTCTTGGGAAGAATTACCTCCTGGAAAAGAAATTGTATCTCAAGTGCCTCCTAGTAATGGACAATGCACCTGCTCATCTTCCAAACTTCGATGACCTAATTCTGAAGGAGTTTGGGTTCATCACAGTAAAGTTCTTGCCCCTGAATACCACTCCTCTCCTCCAGCCCATGGATCAGAAGGTTATTTCAAACTTTAAAAAACTCGACACCAAAGCAGTGTTTGAAAGGTGCTTTGACCCTAAGAGATTTTTGGAAAGAACACTTCAGTATTCTCAATTGCATAAGCCTTATAGGTAAGGCTTGGGAGGGAGTGACTACCAGGACTTTGAACTCTGCTTGGAGTAGCTTGTGGCCAGATTGTGTCCACAGGAGGGATTTTGAAGGGTTTGAGGTGGCCCCTGATGAGCCTATGTCAGTTGTGAACTCTATTGTGGCACTGGGGAGTTCCATGGGGTTGGATGTGAGTATGGAGGATGTGGAAGAGTTTGTGGAGGACCACAACAAAGAGCTAACCACTGAGGAGCTGCAAGAGCTTCAGCAGGAAGAGCAACAGATCACAGCTCAGAATCTTGCTGCAGAGGAGGAAGAGAGATGGAAGAAGGTGCCTTCTTCAGAAATTAAGGAGATTTTTGAAATGTGGGGTAGGATGGAAAGATTTATGGAGAAACATCACCCTGAGAAGGATGTTGCAAGCCATATCGGCAACTTGTACAGTGGCAGAGTCTTGGCCCATTTTAGGGAAGTTTTAAAGAACCCAGAAACAAGCTCTCTGGGCTTTTTTTGCGAGACAGGCCCCCAGTCCCAAAGTGTTCCTAGGGCTTTAAAGAAACAAAAAAGAAGAAACCCCCCAGAAAAGCATTGGTACCTTGAGGTGTTGGGAAAGGGGTTTCCCCCTTCCCAAACAGTAATTCAATCTCTCTCCTCCTCCATCTCCATACACTAAGAAAAATTTGCCAATAAAGGTAAGTGTTATCTTTTAAATTTTTCATTCTTTTTTTTCCCCATTGTATTGTTTAGTACTACATTATTTTTTATGTAAAAATTTTTTTTTTTTAAATACTTCGGGTGTCAGGAAGGGATTAATTGATTTACATTAAATTTTTTTGGGGAAAATTTATAAAAAATCGTCTTTTTTCGATAATAGTCCCACTTCCGGGAACGTTTAAGGCAAATTGAGGGCCATTTAATATATAATAATATTAAAAATTTATAAAATTTATTTATATTTATAAAAAGGGGAAAAGGGGACAAAAGAACTGTAAAAATTATAGAGGAATAAGCTTCTGAGTATACCAGGAAAAGTTAGGGTGGGGTTTAATTGAAAAATTAGGGGTAAGACAGAATGTGGGATTGGGGAGCAAGGAGGTTTTCGAGTGGGTAGGGTGTGTAATAAAGTGTTCATTGAAGCATATATTGAACAGTTTTTAAATTAAAGGTAGGGAAGTTTTTTTTTGCATTTAGGTTTTTGAAAAGGCATATATGAGTGGAAAGGAGCAATGGGGCAGATGTTGCAAGTATATGGAATAGGGGTAAAATTTAAAATGCTGAAAGATTTTTATGAAGATAGTGGGCTCAGGTTAGGGTGTAGAAAGAGGGAGATATTTCCCCCGAAAAAAGTGGGTTTTAGACAGGGATGTGAAATGTCCCGGTTTTTTAAATTATTTTGATGGGGTTGTTAAGGAAGAAAATGCTAGGGGTTTTTTGGGAGGGGGGGTGGGATTAAATTAGGGGGGAATAAAATTTAAAATGGGAATTGACACAGTTCTTTTGCGATGATCGTGCTATGGGAATTCTAAAAAAAAATTAAAAAGGGTTAGTGGATGATTTTGGGAATGTTGTAAAGGTAAAAAGTTGAAATGAACAAAAAAGATAAGGATGAGGTTTCAAAATGATTTAGATAAAGAAAATTGGTTCAAATTGGAGGAGCGATAAGAGTGATGATTTTGATACTTGGAGTTATGTCGCGGATGATTTTGTGATGAGTGTATCATAATATGGGGAAAAAAGGTGAGTGGTGCTTGAAGTATATGTGGAGTCAAAAAACGTGATTTGAGGCAAAGAAGGGAATTATGAAAGTATAGTAGACCAAACCTTATATGGGTGTGAACTTGGGTGGTAAATGCAGGAGTCAGGGGTTGGAGGCAGTGGGAGCCTGTTAAGGGCATGTGTGGGAAAATATTACGAAATCACGAGGGTGGAAAATTAGGAGAAGGGGGAGTTAATAAATATTAGCAGAGGGGAAGGAGATGAAGAGGTTTTGGTTTAGAGATTTAATGTGGATAAGTTAGATTGACATGGAAAGCATTAATCTATAGGGGAAGGAGGCGGAATGTAGGGTCAGGTGCCTCGAGGGTTGAGAGAGGGGTAAAGGGTTTTTGGGTTAAGGGGCATGGACTCCAGCAGCGTGCATAGCGTTTAGTGGATAAGTGAAGGAAAGATTAACCTGACCTGATCTTTGGAGTGTGGCAGGGTATTATTTAAAGGGAGTTCAGGAACGTTATTTCATTAGTCGGACTTGAGTCCTAGAAATGTGGAAGTAAATGCCTGCACTTTAAGGAGGGTTTGGATATTGGCATTTGGGTATGTGTTTATTTATATGTGAAATTTAATGTTGTATTCTGAGCACTCGGCAAAAAGGATTTTATGTGCGATGTGTGGGAAATTTGAATGATGATAAAGTATTTCTTTTTTGGGATTTCCTTCTTTTTTGGAGCACCGTTGGGGAGAGCCACTTGTTGTAAAAAAAAAAAAAAAAAAAAATATAAATATAATATATATATATATATTAATATATATATTAGTAGGTAGTAGGTTGGTAGACAGCAACCATCCAGGGAGGTACTCCCTGCAAGTCAGTGAAAACGAAAGCCTGTGATTGTTTTACATGATGGTAGGATTTGCTGATTCTTTTGTCTGTCTCATAAATATGCAAGATTACAGGCATGTCTTGCTACTTCTACTTACACTTAGGTCACACTACACATACATGTGCACATTTATTTATACACACTCATCTGAGTTTTCTTTGATTTTATCTTAATAGTTCTTGGTCTTATTACTTTCCTTTTTATCCATGGGGAAGTGGAATAAGAATCTTTCCTCCGTAAGCCATGCGTGTTGTAAAAGTCAACTAAATGCCGGGAACAATGGGCTAGTAACCCCTTTTCCTGTAAAGAATTACTAAAAAGAATAAGAAGAAGAAAATTGTTTTCTTTCTTTTTTGGGTCACCCTGCCTCGGTGGGAGATGGCCGACTTGTTGGGAAAAATAAAATATAAATATATATATATATATATATATATAATATATTATATATATTTTAATATATATATATATATATTAATATATATAGGTTGGTAGACAGCAATTCCGCCCAGGGAGTAACTAACGTCTGCAAAGTGAATTATAATAACTGAAGCCTGATAATTTTTATCATCGATGGTAGGATTGCTGGTGTCTTTTTTTTTTGTCTCATAACACATGCAAGATTTAGGTATGTCTTGCTACTTATACTTACACTTAGTTCACACTAACATACATTACATAGCATATACAGTTGACCCGTTAACTATTTTAATATCCAGTGCAAAGAGAGTAATTGTTATGCAAATAATCTATGTGAATGAATTTATCCTCCATAAGAAATATAATAGAAATATAAAATTAATCCGGCATATCACCCAAAAGTATGAAAAAAAAAGTCTTACCTCACTGAAAATAAACAATTATTTTCCCTACACAAAGAGAAGGATACTGTCACAATAGTAAGTAGTACATGCACAGTATATATGTGCTGTACTATCTACTAAATAATAAATAAATGACAACTTACCTTTAAATTTAAATGCAGCAATGGTAACTGATGAGAACAACTGTGTCCTGGAGTGACCTTTTCCTCCTGAGTACTGTAGGCCTGTTTGGCATTTTCCTACCAGAACAGGCCTTATCACACTGTGGTATGCCACATATATTCTTATATCTCTCAAACAACTTGCCTGCTTTAAAATTCACAATATGATCACTAGTTCCAGGCATTTTTTCCCTGTTCACCCTGGGTGTTAGTCGACTGTGGGTTGCATCCTGGGAGACAAGATTAAGGACCCCAATGGAAATAAGTTAGACAGTCTTCGATGCACTGACTTTTTGGGTTTATCCTGGTGGGCAAATCCTCTGGGGTTAATGTTTACTTGGTATTCTTCAATAAGCACACCACAACTGGTGCAACGGAGCAGCGGCAACTCTACAGTGCAGCAGCAGCAACAGCTGCTACCACAGTAGTAGCGATGGTTGATTGGGGTTTAATTACAACCTGGCCAGCTCGGAGACATTGCACTCCACTTTCATACATATCAATGATCTTTTTCTTCATCTCTATTGTAATTCTCACCCTTATGCTGTAGGGTTGGCACTAGAAGCTTTCTTGGGGCCCATGGTCACTTATTTCCAGAAAAAGCACCGAAAACACTGTAATAATACGAAATATTCCGATTGTATGCTTGGATGTTACCGCGGAAGCTGGCTGGTAAACAATGCCACCGGCGGAACATGTGAGCGTGGCTCAGGCCGCACATTGGACGCGTCTCGGACGAAAATCGGTAAGCGGGTTTTTAAGCGGTATGTGAGGCAAAAATTTTGCAATTAAAGTAAGCGGTATGCGAAATAATCGCTATGTGATGCCATCGTTAT